ATTTTATTAAGAATTAGCGAATTTTGGGTGAGATAAGCTATCCAAAAGGGTTGATGAGGTGAGAGAGGAGAGAAGGGAGAAGCGGGTACGTGTACCTGAGGTGGTTGTGTTTGTCCGTAAAAAGAAAGCACCGCCACATTTTGCACCCTTTCTTGCAACCACCATGTACCCAACTTTGGCATGCTTTTGGCACGGCACACCCACAGTCAAAATATTTCGAACTTGGTATATAATAATATTAATAATTGAACCTAGCATGTAGCCAGCAGATTCGCGCTATCGGTAATTTTGCGCGCGTTGCGTCGTAGCCGTGATGGAAGGTCCTAAATTACGCGTGCGTTTCAAACGATGTATAAACAATATTTGGCGTTCTATTTGTAAAACAAAAAAAATTTTATAAGGATCTTATAAGATAATTATTAATACCTCCCTAACCCACTCAAAAAGATTTCGATAATTGCTTTAAAATATCATCAAAAGTCATAAAAATATCCGCATTTTGGGAATCATTTTGTTTTATTTTTTCGCAAATTGTTATTATTAATAATGGTGAGAAGAAAAACTCATTTTAACCTATTTGGATCAACCCCATGTAGAAAATGCAAATTTTTTCTTTGCAACTAAAGAAATTAGTTAACACAAGTTTCTACCGTCATTTTGACCACCATCTTTATTTTTTATACGATAGTAATAAATAGTGAAACGTATGCACTAGATAAAAATCATGATAATATCTTTGGTTACTACAACAAATTTTAAAGTGAGTTTTAGTCGCCATTTTGGGCGCCATCTTGATTTGAGGCCTTAGCAGCCGGAATTCGAGGTGGTGACAGGCAAAATCGAATTCAACAGGGTCCAATTACCCTAAAAACACTTGTCACCAAAATGTTCTCAAGATTTGCCGTTAGAAGTTAAGATCTCAAAATTCTCGCCCGGACTACAAGCTCAGGTGCGGGGAGATCTGACGGTCTGTATTCGTATTGGATTCACGAAAGGTACACAGCAAGTGTTAGTAGCAGAGATAGTCAATGAAGTGATTTTGGGAATGGAAATAAATAAATAATAATTACTGTTATAAATTAATTGTTTTTATTTGTAAATAAATAAACGATGTAAATTACGTTACAATATGTAATGCATTTATATGTGTAGAATGTAAAACCGTCCATTCCCACTGTAACTGCCATTAGTTACAAACAAACGTTTACTTGTAGAGATCACCAGAAAAAATTGATTCTTTGTGCCAAATCAAGATTTGTACGTTTCTCTTGTTCTTTGTAGGTCAAACACTGAACAAACAAGTTTACAATTTGAACTGCTTAAGGGTAAAACAACCCAGACAAATAAGGACCAAACTTTCAAGCTTACCCAAGAAGGTGAAACAGAAGCGTATATCTCTCTCGCGCGCAATTTGGACTACGAAAGGGTCACCGAATATCAGCTGACCGTTCGAGTTACAAATAAAGAACAAGCGGCGTCCGTCACCTTTGAAATTAAAATAGAAGACGTAAACGACGAAATCCCGACGTTTATAGACTCCGTTACAGGTAGTGTGTTAGAAAATGAACAGCCCGGTGCTCAAGTTATGCAGGTAAGAAGCTCGTACAAGTCCAATTCGTTTAATACACGTTAAACTTTAGGTTAGAGCAATCGATAAGGACGGAACCTCGGCGAATAACATTGTTAGTTACGAATTGCAAAACTTCAAAGACTTATTTAAAATTGACGAAAAGACTGGTAAAATTACGACTTTACAAATGTTTGATCGGGAAGCGGAAGATTTTTACAACGTTCTCGTCGTCGCCAAAGATAATTCTCCTAGTGCAATTTTAAAAAACAAACTGGAGCCGAACTCTGCAAGTCAAGCATTTCGAATTACCATCGAAGATCGTAACGATAATAAACCTCAATTTACAAATAGCACGTACGTTGCCGATAATATTCTCGAAACAACTGACAAGGGAAAAGATGTAATCGAAGTCAAAGCGGTAGACAAAGATACCGCTTCCCTTATTGTTTATAGCATCATTGACGGCAATATCAACGACGCATTCACCATTGAAAATACGACTGGTAGAATTAGAGTTAACAACAAGTTAGATTTTGAAACGATAGAACAATATAAATTGATAGTTCAGGCGAGTGACGGTATTTATATGGATTCGGCGAAGGTTATCATTAATATTGGCAATGTCAATGATGAACTGCCCGTTTTTGAGGAGTACAACAAGAATATTACCATTGAAGAAGAGAAAATCATCGAAGGATGCATCTTAAATTTGAGAGCTTACGATCCTGACATTAAAGATCGCAACGCCGACCAAAATATTGTGTACAAAATAATGGACAATCAAAAAAGCTTTTTGAGTATTAACAATGCTGGCTGCGTTTCCCTTATAAAGGTAAGTCTTTTGGTGGTCATTTGAAAAAAGTATTCATCTTCTGAGAATTGTTGCTTAGTCTCAAAGTGAGATATTGAGAAAATGAGCCAAATCAATTAATATACAGGGTGTTTTTTGCTGAATTCTAAAAATTAGTCAAGAGTAAGCTGTCTTTATTTGAGCAGGTATAACACAAATATAATTAAAAGTAGTTGTTTAGAATGAAAACTTATAGAAGACTCAATTTCGCTTGCAAGATGAAAATGTCGGCCGAATTCAATCTGAATTATTTGAAGCATCCCGTTCAAAGATGTAATTTATTTAACGTAGTCCGTCTTTAGGTGCTTAATTCCACGAGTTCTTAAAGGTTAAATGAGCGCATGCTCTACTGGGAGAGGTAGGTAAATTTTCATTAGTTTAAATAAAGCATTTTGTAATTCAAACTGTAGGGAGTGACGGGAGGGTGCCTCATATAATTAATCTTGAATAGGCAATTGGATCCAGTAAAGCAAAAGAGCATGCGCTCGTTTAATCTTTAAAAACGGGATTAAGTACCTGAAGGTGGATTATTATACAGGGTGTAAAGCGATGGGGTATACAAGAGGGAATTTTTTTTTTAAATATTGATTTATAAAAAAAATTTATTCTTCATGATATTTTTTGCTTGCTTTGAAAGTACCAATAACGTTTCGATAATCTAAAATTTATTTATAGAAATCTGGAAAAATAATAAAATTAATTTTTTTATTGAAAGTTATTACATCATATCACATTATAATCAAAATAGCGTATTGCTATCAAACCACAAACAATCGAAACGTTATTGGTACTTTCAAAGCAAGTAAAAAATATGAAGAATAAATTTTTTTCATAAATCAATATTTTTAAAAAAAATTCCCTCTTGTACACGTCATCGCTTTACACACTGTATAATAAGTATATGAAAACATGAACGTTTCTTAGTATTCAGGTGGCCTTTATTAGTACTTTTTTCCAAATTTTTACGCATTTAGATATGTTCTAACATTACCTCTATAGGCGCTGGATCGAGATAAACCGAATGGCTTCCCCAAGCACCAAGCGTACGTTTACGCTCATGACGATGGCGGCGCGCCGGGGTCTCAATTAAGTATTGCAGAGTTCAATATCATTCTTTTGGACATCAATGATAACGCCCCATTTCTGAATGTGGTAAGTAAACTTATTTTTTTAAAGTAACAAAAGGCTAACCCACATTGTTTAAGACGGAAGTTGTTTGGTACGAAAATCAAAAACCGGGACCGATTATTCAACTCACGGCAGATGACTATGACAGTCCAGAGAACGGTCCTCCTTTTAGTTACGCGATAGCGAACGAAGCTAGTAGTGATATACGTAGAAAGTTTTCCATACATGACGATATTCTAAATGCGGACGTAACATTCGATAGAGAAGAGCAGAAATTTTATCTTGTACCTATCGCCGTAACCGACAGTGGCAGTCCATCTCCCGCCACCGCCACTAGTTTCATGAAGGTTATCATTGGCGATGTTAACGATAATGAAGCGAAACCTGGCGAAAGTCAAATATTTGTCTACAATTATGAGGTAAGTTGTTACTCACATTTCACACTTATAATGAAAGAGAAACATTCTGTCTGTGAATGCTGGACAAGAACAATAATGACTATTGAATAAATTTGAATATGGTTAATGATGATGATATGGATAAACTGTGTTTTATTTTAGGGAAAATCTCCCGATGTTTCGATTGGTCGTGTTTATGTTGACGATCTCGATGATTGGGATTTAAACGATAAGTACTTTCAATGGGCGTCTTTCGAAGATGAGCATTTTACGCTTAATAACGATAATGGTACGATCATCATGAAAAGTGGTACGCCCGCTGGGAAGTATATGTTGAATTTCATTGTTACCGAAGAGCATCTACCCCTTATCCCAAGGCACGAAGTCGAAGCGTCCGTGGAAGTTACTGTTAAAGAGATACCAGAGGAAGCTGTACGCAAGTCAGGTTCGATCCGTTTATCGGGCATTACGATAGAGGACTTCATCGCGAAAGATAGTGTAAATTTATATATTATTTAAACTTGACGCAATGATGTTGATATTCTAATTTTTAGAATGGGGTCAGTAGAAAGGATTTGTTCCAAGCGTACTTTGCAAAGGTTTTCAACAAGACATTGGAAAATGTCGACGTCTTCACAGTGATACCCACGCCATCTAATAGTTCATATATAGATGTGCGATTCTCTGCACACGGATCGCCATATTACTTACCTGAGAGCTTGAATTCAAAAACATACGAGCATCAAGTGGAGCTCGAAGATATTTTAAAGGCCCAATTCGTTCTTATCAGCATCAATGAATGCTTGAAGGAGTCCGTTTGCCCAGAACATAACTCGTGCAACAATAGACTGGATATCAAGGACACTGCAGCTGTGGTGTTTACTAATAAAACATCGTTTGTTGGCATAAACGCAATCGTCGAACCCATTTGCGACTGTTTACCTTTAGATTCTATACAACCTATAGATGATGAATTGTGTTATTCCAATGGTATCACCTTTACAGGTAACGGATGGGCCTTGTATCCACCATTTGAAGCTTGCAACAAGTCTGAAATACGATTGGAAGTTCTTCCTCAGCATGGCAACGGTCTCATCATTTACGCGGGTCCATTTAGTACATCACCTGAGCCAATTGTTAGAGGTAAGTTGGAAGGCACACCTGAATATTTGCGTTGGTAAGATCTGTATTCCGGAATTAAAGCGGAGAGTGAAAAGATGCATCACACACCATCTTTTAACTAGAATTGTGTTTCTTTATGTGGTATTTGTTAGGTAAAGAATAATACTTTGTTTAAGACTTGTTTAATTTGCTTAGCTACTTACATTGTGTATCTCAACATTGTTGCCAACTTAACTCTAAGTAACTTAAACCTATACAAGCTACTCCAACATCCCCTTTCTTACAGATCTAGCTTCACAGGCGCTTTAACAATTCTTCCCCTTGTAGTAACTATACCCCCTGGAGCTAACTCTGACTTATTTTCTATTACATTATTATTTTCGTTCTCAATATCTATATATACTATGGTCTCCTATCATTCCTAACTACATCCTGCTCACTTCCCTCCTTTCTCATAGTAAATGATGGACAATTGCGTTTGTAATTAATTTTAACGAATTTTCTATTCCTTATCAAAATAGCGCCATTCTCCATCTTTACTTTGTATGTCCTATTTCTAAGTATACTAACTACCCTGCCTGGTGTCCATACAGTGTTTTTTTTTTACCATTACATGCATTCCTATTAGTCCGGGCGAGAAATTCTGTAAAGCGCATTATAAAGGTTCTAACGGCAAATCTTGAGACATTTTGGTGACAAGTGTTTTTAGGGAAATTGGACCCTGCTGAATCCGATTTTGGCTGCTAAGGCCTTAAATCAAAATGGCGACTAAAACTCACTTTAATTCTTGTTGAAAACAAAAATATTATGATGATTTTTATGTAGCACATACGTTTTGCCACTTAGTACTAGTTTATGAAAAATTTTGAAGCCAAAAAAATTTAAGATGGCGGCTGAAATAGAGTTCCAAATGCCGCGTTTTGTAGTATTCTTGATTTATTCTACCTTAAGTGAGCAAAAGAATTATAATTTGTTTACAAAGTGCCTGCTTAAGTAAAAAAGAAATACAAAAACTTTACTAACACTTTTTCAAAAATGGCGGACAAGATGGCGCTTAGTTTAAGTCTTTGTATGCGATATACAGGTAGTATTAAAATCATTATTTTTCGTTATATACTGCCTTTTTTTTGAGCTCCGAAAAAAAAATTGTCTCAGATCGACCCGGAAAAATTTTTTTTTATAGAATGTGGCCTGTAGAATCCATAATTTCAAACAGTTCCAAGATTGGGCTACTAGTTCAAAAGTTACAGCCCTTTGAATTTTTTTTCGAAATTGGTCTATAACTTTTGATTGAGAAGTCTGATCGAAAAAGTACGAATTGATTTGGATTCTACGCACCCAAATTAATAAGAAAAAGTGTTTTTCCGAGAAATTTTGGTGTAGTCGATTTTTGGTAAAAAAGGAAGGTTATACACTGCCTTTTTTTGAGCCCCGAAAAAAAAAATTGTCTCAGATCGACCCGGAAAAAAATTTTCTTATAGAATGTGGCCTGTAGAATCCATAATTTCAAACAGTTCCAAAATTGGGCTACTAGTTCAAAAGTTACAGCCCTTTGAATTTTCTTTCGAAATTGGTTTCTAGTCAGGGGCGGGCCAGGTGGAATTGCATAGGTTACGGGCCATTAAAGTATTAGTGTAGTAATGAAGGTGGCGGGGGGGTAGCTCTGCGGTGCACCACAAAAACATTTTTTGCTTCATTTTAAAGTACTCCTTTTTCGGAAATCAATTACAATACAGGTTTTTTTTAAATTGCAGCTGATAATTAAAAGTAACAAAATATACAATCCAAACGAGGCGCGTCGCCTATCATTGTATTTCAGCACTTTCATGCTACGACAAAAAATGATAAATTCATTGTAAAACACTTCAACTAAAACAGAATTTTTTAACAACCTAATATCAACCCCAATTAGAGAAACGTGTAATAATTTATTAATAGTGCAAGAAACTAAATACAGCACATACTTATAAATTTCCAACGGGCCATTATGACGTACAGGCCAGGTGGCAACCGCCACCCGCCCCCCCGGGCCAGTCCGCCCCTGCCACCATCTTAATTTGTTTTTGGCTACATATTTTCTTATACAATAGTAATAAATAATGAAACGTATGTACTACATAAAAATCATGATAATATCTTTGGTTACAACAACAACAAATTTTAAAGTGAGTTTTAGTATCCATTTTGGGCGCCATCTTGATTTGAGGCCTTAGCAGCCGGAATTCGAGGTGGTGACAGGCAAAATCGGATTCAGCAGGGTCCAATTACCCTAAAAACACTTGTCACCAAAATGTCTCAAGATTTGCCGTTAGAAGTTAAGATCTCAAAATTCTCGCCCGGACTATATGTCTAATTCTGGTAATTTCTTAGCTCTTTTGTCATAGTAATGCTGACTAGTAACTTGCCTCTCATTTAAAAAGTTATTATTATGATTTTGTGTAGATACTTTCGGTAAAAGATTTTGATTCGTGATAGGTAAGATTGATCTTAATTTTCTAGACATTAATATTTCAACTGGTGAATAGTCATTGTCAATTTTTTGATTTCGGTATGTCAACAATGCCATTTGTAAATCTTTATTATCTTCAATGATCTTTTTAAACATTTTTTTAGCAGTTTGGACATTCTTTTCGGCCATTCCATTAGATTGTGCATTTGTAGGTGACGTTAAGATATGATTAAATTCCCAATTCTTTGCAAAAACTTTAAATTCAAATGATGAAAATTGTGGACCCCCATCAGTTACCAATGTAGCTATTTTTAGAAAAAGAATACTTCGATGTAAACTCCGGGATGCCGACACTCGGAGCCGTGGTTTATTTTGTTTGGGGGAAAGATTTCTCGTTGCTTTCTTGGATCATAATTTAGTTGAAAATATTGTGTGTGGCCTAAAAGTAAATTCTATAATCACTAAACAATATTAAAATTATAGTTAATATTAATAATATTACTTAAGTTGAACTGTATTTAATCATCTTTACTGTTGTTGCAGATTTTATGTCATTAGAACTTCAAGATGGTTATCCTGTTTTATTAGTCGATTTTGGAACAGGTACAACAATGAAGTTTGCAAAAAAACAGCTGACAGTTGGACAAAGTCACAGCATTAGTATCCTACTACAGCCATTTGTAAGTTTAACTGTTTTCTACAAAGACGCGTCTAACGTGTGTTGTCGCAGGAAATTCAATTAATAGTAGATGACTGCCATCAAAGCACATGCGTGGCACTGGGCAAGCCGCCAGGTGAAAACGCACTGCTAAATGTGAACGGTTTACTCCAAGTGGGAGGTGTGAGGTCCGATTTAGATGCGTTAAGCAAACAGTTGCAATGGAATTATACCCCAACAAATAAAGGCTTTGTTGGTTGGATTCATAACTTTACCTTCAATGGGCAGCTGTACAACTTAGGAATGCCGGCCGAATCATTAAATGCGCATCGCGAATGTAATTTCAAGGCAGCTAAAGCTGTGTCGTTTGGTATTGATACCAATTTTATAGTGGCTATTTTGGTTTGCGTCGCTATCTTGTTAAGTATGTATACTTTTTTGGTGGTTATTTATAACTCACCTTGACTTTTTGCAGTATTGCTGCTCGCTGTGGTCGTGCACAGACGGAAACAGGACAATTGGAACGAAAAAGATTCTGACGACATTCGTGAGACTATTATCAATTACGAAGACGAGGGAGGTGGCGAGTACGATACTGGTTTTGATATGTCTGTACTGCGACGTGAGCATTTGGAGGATAAAGCTCCTGTGCAAGAAAGTCTCTACAAGCAGGCGGACGTTCCCGACATAAGCGGTTTTCTTACCGATAAGAAAGATTCCTGTGACCGTGATCATATGCCTTATGATGATGTTCGCTATTATGCTTACGAAGGAGATGGAAATAGCAGTGGATCGTTGTCTTCTCTAGCATCATGTAAGAGTCTTATCACAAATATAAACCCATTATATGTCTCAAGTGTAAAGCTTCTTTCACAATTACAATTATTGCGTACGCAGACATTAAAAAAGACCAACATTCACAATACACAAAATTAGCTTGTTATTTGTAAGAGTGATAGCAACGTCCTCTGTAGGTATTGTACATTGCGATCAAAAATGAGTGACCGTCGAGTCACCTTTGGAATTTTTGTTTACATGGGAAATCGTACTTAACTTCAACTTTCAAAGGCGACTCGACAGTCACTCATTTTTGATCGCCCGATATTAACAACAGTAACAAAGTTTCCATTTTTTTTACTCTCGGCAACGTTTTTTTAAATAAATAAACCCCCCTTGTCTCTGGAAATAATCATACCCGCCATGTGGCTCTACATAAGGAGAAAGCACAAAACCGCAATTCCTATGTAGCATCAGTAGTATTCTTACAAAATACTTCAGAAGTCTCAATCAGCATCAATTCAAAAGTATAGTTGGTGTCAAGTTAGCTAGACACCACCAAAATGAATCTCTGTATCAAAAAAAGCGGCAAAAATTTTTTTGTTTCTTTATTTCTTTTTTTGGAAAGATATTTTTTTAAATAAGTAAATAAATGCACATATTTTTACCTAATAATTATAAAAATGTATAAATCAAATTTGACCAGTAAAATTGATTAAAACAAATAACAGGAAATAATAATAAGGTGTAATTAACAATGTATTGGGAAATGTTGGCAAACATTGCGAATTTTCTCCACTAAATTACCTTAGAATCAAGTAATTTACAGAAGATCTCATTATAGACAAATGGAGTAAAACGAACAGGTATTTGTGCAGCTTCATTCTAATATTGTTTAACAATAAATGAATAAAATTTGCAAAACTGAAAAGGATAGAAATATACCGTTTTCGCACTCCACGAATATACATGGTAATGAAATGCAAATTGACTACAGAGGACTGATTTAGAAAGAAAAACTTGCTTTTTAGACAATTTCATTAATCCTAATCCTAGATGTCGTTGTATTTATAATTGTGTCTTTTAGGTACCGACGAAGGTGATCTGAAATTTAACTACTTATCAAATTTCGGACCACGGTTCCGTAAGTTGGCGGACATGTACGGAGAAGATCCGAGCGACGAGGACAGTCAGGATGGCGGAGAAGAATCATGGTGTTAATATTACGAAAGTACTTAAATTATATTTGACCAAAGAAGTCTTACTCCATGTTTAAAAGTGTTGTTAATTGGTCGAGTTGAAAATTCTTTGGAAAACGCCCCGTATTGAATTTTAACTTGCCATGACAAAATTTAAACTAGATTGCCTTAAACATTTCGAATATATTTCGTTCATTCTGATTAAGTAATTGTAAAATGTGTAAACTGTGATATTTAAAAATTAAATATGTATTAACGATTTTACATTCCTACGCAATATTGTATAACCATTATTTTCGAAGTAAATTAGGATAGTGTCACCTGTAAATTGCGCTTCGTGTCAATGTTTTAGGCGATTTTGGAGTAGTGGTAAATCTTCCATTAATCTACACTTAAAACGAGAATTTATGGAGAGTTAATCTTCTAGTCGATCGGTGATTTTTACATGTTTGGAAGATGTTCACAATTCTTGGACTTTATGTTGTCTAACCTCGGAAAAGATGTTTACAGCTTGGGTTGAACGGCAGCTAAATGATCGTAATTAGAAGTAGTGTATATATAGGTTTAAATATTTTTTTTATCAACACTCGGCTTAGTAATTATGGGATATACGCAAGAAACTGAGCAGGCGAGTATAAAATTGAACACAAAGTTCCTTTCGCATAGAATGGGAATTATTTCCGTGTGCAAATTAAAATCTAGTTTAAATTTAGTTATGATTCCTCTTTCTTTGTTTCGTACGAATCGCGCGAGTAATTTGATGTCTTATATCGCATATGATTGATTTTGTTCTTACGTTGTTTAATGTTAAATTGTGATGGCAGCCATATATAAATATATTTATAATATACATGATCTCCTGCGAGAATATTTTAAGTTTTAATTGTAAGGCTTTGCGTTCATTCCATTTCTTAGTTTCAGGTGTAGTTAATTACTTTGTAAGCATTTTTTAAGAAGTATTAAACATTATTTATGTTAAAAAAAGGTTTTGATAAGCAAACTGTGCATTTGTTAATTTTTTTTGTTGCCTTAATTTATTTTGGCGGGCAATTTGCAGCATTCGCAGTGATGTCTTTATATTGAAGAAATATGTGAATCTATAGAAGAAAATAGAAAGTATTTTTACAATATCTAGATTTATATTAAGTAGCGTATATAATATCATACTGATGAAGTGACCTTCTATTTTAGGTATCTGTTTTTTAAATGAAGTCTAATGAAATCTTGCTCACTGCCATTAAACATTGACTTACAGTATGATTGTTAAATAAAGGCTAAATATTGATTGTGTGAATTTCATTATCAGATGTGCTGGTGTCGCAACATTTTTTGATCTTGTTACAAAGTCAAAAACTTTATCGCAATATTGTATAATATAAGGGGACTGCTCATAACTTAATTTTGGACAAGTAATAGGTCTCATTGCATTAATGTTCTTTGGTTGCAGTCTGTTTCAAGATCACCCTCACAGGCTCCAAGCAACAAACTTAATTGACATGTACATACATACAGTCTCTTTCAGGCAGAGCTGGGCAGAATACTTTCAAAAAGTATTTGAATACTAAATACGCCCAGCACAAGCAAGTACTAAATACAGATACTTTGAGAAGTATTCAAATACTTTAGAATGTATTTGAATACTTTCAAAGGTTTGCACATGACACATTCTGAAATTAATCCTAGCGATTTTGAAACAGGTCCGTTTCTGTCCGTGTGCATGATAACTTGTTTAGGAAACGTTCGATTGCTTTGAAAATTGGTACACATGGTCCTAAGGATATAAGAAAGGTCCCTATTGTTTTTAAGTTACATAGACTATCGGGTCAAAAAGTTTCACTCTCGGTATTCAGTTATATCGGATTTTTATATTTGTTTTTGTGATAATGGAAACTGCGCCTAACCATCTCTAAATGGCTCTCAAATATTTGAATAACTTAAAAGTATTCGAATATTTGCGAAAGTATTTGAGTTATAAATACTGCTTCCATAAAAGTATTTAATTACAAAATATTTGAATACTAAAAAGTATTGTATGTGTACATTTTGATGGCCCCCAAAAGAGCACAAATCAGTTCTCAAAGAGATGTGCTTGAATGACAAAAGCAAGGTTTGTCTCATTGAGCATCTCTGTTCTGCTTTTGCTCTCGAGGGGATTGATGATTTTCGCCTCCTTTTATGAATTTCCTAGGCTAAGAGATGATTTTCGCCTCTTTTATGAATTTCCTAGGCTAAGAGGTACACCTAGGCTAACTTCTGAGTATCTACCTTGCATAAAATTTCCCGAGAAATATTTTCAGCTAAAAATATTTCATACAGACCTCATAGATCGCGAGATATCAGCCAAAAAGAGCGAAAACACGGTTTTTGGGGGATGGTGGGGTGGCTGGAGCCTTTAGCACAGGGTCTGGAGGGTGGGATTTATAATATGTTGTTTCTGACACCTAACGGAACATATTCCACCATTTTTTTCTTTTCCACCTCAAAATGTCCAGTTAGATGTCTTTATCGCCTAGACTAAAAGGAGATCCAGAACACAATATCGCTCTGCAAAAAAGTACCTCCAAATAAATTCTTTGTTTGACCGGTATATGCAATAAAATTCAAAGAAGAATAGCATGTTGACATCCGTTAGAAATACATTAGAGATACACAAAGACAGAGCATAAGTAAAACATTTATTAAAAAATATATTATTTTAAGTGTATTAAAATTTTTTTACAAATCAAAAATTATTAAAATTTGAATTATCAATTGATAAATTCGTCCTTTACATCCACTTGTAGATCCTTTAAATGCAAATAAAGTTTCAGCGAAGCCTAAAAGACAAATGGACCAAAGCACTGATTAGGGAATACCGACTTACGTATGCATCTGTTGCGGCATATTCTATCTGTTCCTTTGATAAGGGGACCACATCCCATTTACTATTACGAACGTTTTTGCTCTTGTTAATTTGCATGTTTAACTGAGATATGGTCAGAATTAATTTTGATCGTTTAGTATGTACAACTTACAAAATGATTGACTAGCTTTTCCATACTATAAGAAGAGAGTGCTTGCTCGGCAGATCTCGCCATTGGTCTCAAGTCAATACAGTTGTTTACTATTCGCAGAGAGTCGATTCCGGGAAAATCCCTCGAGAGTTTATGTATATCACTGAAAGGCAACAATCAACATGTCTCTGGTTTAAACTCGAAATACATGCTTTTTGATATTAACTCCGACAATCTTCACTTTACTATGTGATAAAAGCTCGTACAGCACAACGGGAATTTTTGTTAAGGTACTGACATGGTACAGGTAGCATGTATTTAAGTTTGGTGCAATTTGAATTAATGCCGTTTTTCCACTGCCAGTTTGAAAACTAAACGGCCATTCCATGTCAAAACCAAGTACAAAATCTTCGGACGTCTTGTTCGCAAGTTGCCTACAATATTTTAACAAAATTAAATGTTTTTGGCGATTAAGTTTACAGTAATTTATCGCAGCTTATTGCACAGTCTATTGAATTGTTGTAATACTCTACTTTTCCTCTGTACTTCAAAAAAGGCAAGGTTTTCACATCGACAACTTCCTTTTTCTAAAATGTTATGACGTAAACTATAAAAAGAACTTTCTTAGGGTTCTTGTACGTACTATTTTTTTTGGTTCGAGTGGTCCGGAGGACCGTAATTTCATTTTTTCCATGATATTAAAAAAAACTATTGAAAAGGTTATAAAGTTGAATTGTAAACAAAGGGTGCCGACAAACTGTCACTTGTTGATTTGGCGGTAACTCAACTTACAGTGTTGCCAGAGGTTTAATTATAACAATTTATTGTTATAATTGTGACTGGGTAAAAAAACATTCTATAAAAATGTAAAATTAACCTCATATAGTTGTTTACTTTTGTCATCATTAAAATCAATGGTTTTTTATAATTCATCTTGCTCTTACAAGCTTAAAATACCGAAATCAATTTCAATTTAAAGTTTCATTTATGGAATCGTCGCAAGCTGAGTCTGGCTATTGGGTGAGATGGAACTAATTGCTCTGGGCCAGCTGATCGGAAGGCAGGTTGTTCTCGACTCATGAGAAAGCATATTAAGGAGAAAAGATTTTGGGATGTAAAACGAGGTCTTGGCATTACATTATCAGATCGAGAGTCTTGGTACGTACTTAAAATATAAATTACAATTTCTTTCGCACTTATTAGGATCATATTTCGATTTGCAATTGCAGGTAAAGTGAATCCAATAGGAGAAGTCCCACAAGGACCTTGAGTGAACACATTCTGCCATGGAAGATAAGAAACTGTTTAAATTTGCTTATAAATCCGTAGAGATAATGACCATAGCATCCTTGGAATTCACAAGATGCAAACAAACATTAGTACATTGTGTAGTATCACTTTGTTAAACAATTTCTATATTTGTTTATCCGCTGTATAAGTTAAGTAAGCATCCATTAATTCACTTATGCTTATTGAGAGATGTATTTATTTTCTTAGACATAAATTTTTTGATATAATTCCAAGAGGTTCGAAATTGATAGAAAGACAGGTCTGTGTAATTAAGTCATCAATGTTAGTAATTAATTAGGTTAAAAATGGCCCCCATTCTCAGTAAATGTATACCAAGTTCAGTGGCATAGTAGAAATTTATTTGGGGGGGGGGGGGGGGGGAGGGGTGTTAAACAATTCGTGGGGGGGGGGGGGTAAGAAATTGGGTTGCACAGGCGAAAAAGATTAGATTAGAATGGTATTTTATTTCTTACTGCTGACAGGCCCCTTTATTGCTTTTGCTTTAATTATTCAACAAAAACGAATAATAGGTATATTTATGGGCAAAAAACCAATTTCAACAAAAAATTCAAAGGGCTGTAACTTTTGATCTAGTAGTCCGATCTTGGAACTGTTTGGAATTATGGATTCTACAGGCCACATTCTATAAGAAAATATTTTTTCCGGTCGATCTGAGACAATTTTTTTTTCTGGGCAAAAAAAAGGCAGTTATTACCTTCCTTTTTTACCAAAAATCGACTGCACCAAAATTTCTCGGGAAAAAACTTTTTCTGATTAATTTAGGTGCGTAGAATCCAAAACGATTCGTACTTTTTCGATTAGACGTCTCAATCCAAAGTTATGGGCAAAAAACCAATTTCGACAAAAATTCAAAGGGCTGTAACTTTTGATCTAGTAGTCCGATCTTGGAACTGTTTGGAATTATGGATTCTACAGGCCACATTCTATAAGAAAATATTTTTTTCCGGTCGATCTGAGACAATTTTTTTTTCTGGGCAAAAAAAAAGGCAGTTATTACCTTCCTTTTTTACCAAAAATCGACTGCACCAAAATTTCTCGGGAAAAAACTTTTTCTTATTAATTTGGGTGCGTAGAATCCAAAACGATTCGTACTTTTTCGATTAGACGTCTCCATCAAAAGTTATGGGCAAAAAAAATTCCTGTATTTAAAATTCTTATTTTCGTCATTTCGTGAAAGGCAGGACGCAGGTACCTCACCTCAGTAGCAGTACTAAGTACCTGATACCTATTTGTTATTTTGGGCATCAATGTAGCGAATTGCCGATCGATGCCGAATAGCCAAATCGTTGACTGCCAACACTGATCACTCACTGAATAGTGAATATTGAATACTACAGAATATTTAGATCTTAGTGACTTTAGACTTTAACCAAAACCAAAATTGTTCTCTATATATACCTATATATTATTGCCTTTATTTTAAAGTGGGCGGAGCGGATAGCGGAGTATTACCTAAATACCTAATAGCTATGATGATAACTCAATTCTTCTGGGGGGGATATATCCCCTTCATCCCCCCCCCCCCGTAAATACGCCACTGACCAAGTTTGCAAAGAAATGCTGCACAGGAAAGAATTGCCTAATGATTTGGTCGATCATCCAGTCTTTTAATTAATATTTGCAAAGTATTTTTTTAATAAAATTTTCTTCAATTTAGAAATTGCCAATCAGCAGCTAGTAATTGTACTTGAACTCCAATTCATTTACAATAAGTATTTAGACTTGGTTGGAAGTTCACAGTAAAATCGAGAGTAAAATACAATGAAAAAGCAAATCAACTTGGTCTACTAACGGCAGTAAATGAAACACCGGAGGCCGACTATAATATATCTAAATTATTTTATTTACAACATGAAGGCTCTTATTAATTGCATTAAGTCCACTTGAAATCACCATTGTACCAAACGCCCTTTTTCAGTGTAAAAGCATTCGAAATGAACAAACGAGACTTTTTGACCATTTATTAGTAATAGTAGCAACCCCATACAGCATTGTCTCTTCTGGCATGCAATCATTTAAAAGTATATGCATGCTTATGAATGTGTCTATCGATTGGATATAGATTTTTATCGTTACATCATCAATAGTTATCGATATATCGCTATATGGTTTTGTTATATTTCTTTGGTAGTTTCTCCACCTCCTAGGCCGTAGCTTTTGCCATATTTTTGGTAGTTTTTTTTACTGCAATTTTATTATGATCAAAGTAGCGCAATTTTTCTCACTCTAGCTCTGCAGGCTATAATCTTTTAGAAATATTAATTTTTTGGTCACTTTCTATTAGGACACGAGGAAAGCTCCAAAAAACTTTGAGAGCAAGTTAAGAAATTATGATATAATAATTATATATATATATATTTATTGAGCTGGATATGTACAATAAATGTAATAATATCGCTATACAACCAGATGCTGCCTACTCAATCCCTTTCTCCAAGCGCTTCTATCCAGGATCATATCCTCATCCAAGGCTTTCCTTATTCCTTCGTTCCATGATATAATAATATAATAGCTATAATAGGTTTTGTTAAATCCAAGCGGGTGCGCATACGAAGATAATAAAATGATAAAATTAGTGTTGCTAATAACACTTGTCGTGTTCGAAGTTAGAATTACGAGGTCAGTTAAAATCAATATATCGAAAACTGTACCTAATCTGTTACATTTTTACAAGTGTAATTGTCACAGGTAACATTTTTATTTAGACTTTTGCAAACAAATATATCTCCCCAAGGGTTGTGTGCAATTTACGAATTGTATTTAGCCCACTCCAAAATGTTTTAGCCGAATTAAATTACTATGTTAAGCCCACATATTGGATTCTTCTAAAACTTCAACTGAGCTTATATGTTCATTTACGTGTCTGCTTGTGTAACGCATTGTTCACAGGAACACAGGTCGAAAAATATCTTGGGAAGATAATATAATAATAGGTACTTAAATAAAAATAATAAAATAGAAACGGAGATTTGGATCCAAATTGGAAAAGATTTTGCACCGCCCTGTGTGATGGTTAAGTCTTGACAAATGATATAACCCTGTTATAATTAATATACGATTATCAACAACATTCAGTTTGTTGATGGTGATTCGGGTTATTAGCTTTTTTTGTGTCTTTATCATGGAGCTAAACATATAAATAGTGATAAGCATATCAAAAATTAATTTCACTTGCAAGGCTCCATTCAATATTGAGAAAGATCTGCTCTTTATCGTAATTTATTTCAGTTACGTTTTTTAAATAATTTGAACTTAGACAATGAAGTAGTAATGTGTATTTTGTATCTTTGATATTACCATATGTATGCTGCAATAGTGGCCGGCAAATATGGGGTACCTACCTATTTTATCCCTTTTGACGAATGTAGCGCGGTTGACAAATTCCTTTCCTTTCAGTAAATTTACCGCCCAGTAGTATTGCCACATTGCTTTATCCACCCATCAGTGTCCCTCGATAAACAGATATTTGAGAGATTAACCATGGGGAATACGCATGTGTAGGGTCGTGTAAATGCTGTGTTCGGTATGGTTCCAAGACTTTTCCACCGGAAGGACAAACCCCACACAAACTGCCAATTAATTTATTGAGCGTTGCTGATCAGAATTTCCACGTTTCAATGTCTTTTACTATTTTATAATAAAAAATTGATAATAATGAATTAAACAATTACCAGTTATGACTTTTTTTGGGAATTTCCAATGATAGGTATGATATGGGCAGTGCTGGCGAAGTGGACAATCGCCCATGGTTGGAGCGTCGCTAATACATCTTGGTCTGGAAACAATTTCAGTTTCAAATTGGCTAATTCCAGCTCTGGAAAATAGGGGAAAAAAGAAACATCAAAATCGTGTTTTTTGGCCCGGGCCCAAGCTTGTCATTTCTAGAATATGTGGCATAAGTTAAAGGTCCTTCATCGCGAGGGCCCATCCAGTACACGTGTGCTAAATGAAACATCTGGCAAACTGTATAATGATAAGAGGTCATTTTAGCAACGATAATTGGCAGACGTACAATTTTGATCTATAATTGTACATAAAAAAAACTTTGTGGTGGCGCACAAAAAATGACGCGCGGTCTAGTTTGATAAGATAAAGCAACGGTAGCTGTGTAGGGCGCCTGACCTTAATGAATAACCAGAGTAATTGGGTTCGATGGGTTTTTTGTAAATCTGTGTCAAGTATGCTAGTTGGCATGACTAATGTATACTGTGAATTCAACCTCTCTTTGTTATTTCACGTTAAGTTGATACGGTCGGCTTCCTGAATGTTTGTGAATTTAACGATAAACAAAGTGACGTAGTGCAATTATAATTTTTACAACATTGATAAGATGTGTAATTTTCGTTATTGCGAATATCTGAGTATCGAGAATGACGAACTATTTTCAATTTTACGCAAATTAAATTTTCTGTGATATTCAACACAATGGAAAAATTACAATCTTGCGTTATGAGTAGCACGCACCGTGACAGTGGTAGAACTATGTAGTTTAATTGTTCGATTTCTACAACTATGGGTGAAAAAAGTTGTACTAATCTGGACAGTAGTATGCCTATGCTTGTGCGAAAACAAATTGAAGATTGCGATGAAAAAGTGGCGGACAAGGAAATGCCCAAAAAAGGTAAATTAACGTAATATTTCAGTAGCTATAAATAACGAACACGCGCCCAAGTTGTAAAAAAGGGCGCCATTGCGAAAGTACCTCTTTACACAAATTTTCGTCAAGGATAGGTTCTGTTTCACTTGTTTTCATTTCTGGAACACTGTCCCAAAACGTTTTGTTTTGCGTTTGTATGTCTGTTACAATGCTTCTCCTTTTGGATGCAATTTTTGGCCCTATGTTGAAGGGACCAAAACCAAACTGTGGATATAATGTTACCAAAGTAGATTCAGTTATCGTCCTTAAAGGTTTCTTCTTCTTTTCTCGGCAAGCAATTACACACGAAGAAGAAAGTTTTCCATCGGTTTTTGCTTATGCATTTTTGTTTTTGTAGAACACATTTTTACTCTGTGGTACACTCGTTTACAAAATTCTGATCATGAGAATCTTTCAACAAATCCGAATTTAGTGTGGAACTTGTACAGGATCTAGAGTAAGCAAACTCTTTGGTTGTACGCATTATTTTTAGTAGTAGTTTATAAAGAACTGTCTCTTTTGTAAAGTTGTAAATGCAGAGCAAACGACGCGACGGTCTAACTTTTGAATACCACCATTCTAGAGACAGCGCTCTTTGGTTTCTAGCATGAACAAGGGCGCCACCGTGAAATGTTTGTATATTGATTAGATCGCATAACAATACGTATAGGTAGACGGACGCGTGTGCAATGTAACCATTTGACCCTGCCACACTACTTTTGATTTTTAGTATTTCAATCTGAGTTGTATATGTCACGATGGTTACGGACGTTCGCAATTTATTTCATAATCGCACCCAAATTTGTGTTTACAACCATAGAATTCAACAAGTGAGTTTCGCCCATACATATACTTTTGCTGTTGTTTGCACAAAATACGACAAACATAAAAATCCGACGTGTCTTTGACCTTCATCTTCCGCTAATAAATTTGATTTTAGATACCAATATAAAACGAGGAAAGAATGCGCAAGCAATGGAGGAGTATGAACTAGTACCGCCAGATGGAAGATGGGGTTGGATTGTTTTGTTTGGAGCAACTCTAGTTAATCTCTTGGTACCGGGCACAGTTAAATCATTTGGCGTACTTTTTGTTGAATTTTTGGAGGTGTTCAACGCATCACCCATCTCGGCAGCATGGATTCCAGCACTTTGTTACTTTCTGTACAGTTCTTTGGGTAGGCAACCAAATCTCTTTTTACAGTAGCTCGGAGATCATTTTTTTCTAGGACCATTGTCCAGCATACTTTCCTTGAAATATTCGTATCGTACCGTCACAATCATGGGTGGCACCTCGGCTGCGCTTGGAATGATATTAAGTTATTTTGCTGAATCAGTTACATACCTATATTTTAGGTAAGTGTCTATTTTGTAAAATCATTCTAAATAGTAATGACCCCCCACACACATTTATCACTATGTTCTAGGCAACTTTGGGATGTTTTGATATCTCAGTTTTCTAACTGAATTGGTACTTCACTGTTTTAAACGCACTGTTAATTGTTATTGGTCATTTTCAGTGGTCTTCTTGTATTCCAGCAGTACATAAATGAAAACAATTAAGCATTACATTTAGAACGATTGACCTTTAGAATTTTTCATTATCACAAAATGCAAACCAAATATAAATTTTCATCTTTTTTTGTCTTAAAATCCATGTAATGCAGATTTTTAGTAAGATTATCCCAATCACTTTACTATCTGGATAAATCCCATATTGATGCAATAGTTGGCAAGATACTTATCTACCCAATAAATTTATTGGCTCTTATAATAGAAAGATTTTTATATATGAATTTTGAGTTCCGATTATGGTTCCAAATAGCTCCTCAAGAGTTTTGGCAATTTTTCGGTAAGGTATGAGATGCTGCACTTCTTAAAGTTGTAAAAGTGTCTTCAATGGTGGTTCAGGTGAAAGAATGCAATAAAGAATGGTGTTTTCATAACTTTTGCAGTTACTGAGCTTGAGGACCTTATTTTCTGGCTTAAATTTCCAGTTTCAATTCATCCTTAGCTATTATACTTTTCAAGATGTCTTTTTTGTTATCTATACGTTTGGTAGCCAAACAGAGAAAAATGATACATGACGATTGTTTGCTTAGAATACAACTCAAAATTCTTCCCGTTCTTTGAAAGATCAAAGGTGGCTCCAATCAACGCATTCCTAATGGAGGTGTTGTTAGTTATTAAATAAACAAGTACAAAATAAGTAGGTACCTATTTAATTAAGAATTAATTACAATGACGCAGATATTTTGACAACGTTGTCGATGAACTGAACTTTTAGTACTTTCACTACAAAATATGAAAACTATTAAAATACCCACTGAAAGTGGCAGACTGTTCAGACCACATGGGGCCAGGTTAAGAGACCCTTATTCAATGGAGATATTGCCTTTCACTTCAGGCACAGCAGCGCGCATCTGTACTAATAAGAATAAAAATGGTGATCTAATATTTGAATTTATTGCAGTTATGGAATTCTGGTGGGAATAGGAGCAGGGTTGGCCTTTCCGCCGACAGTATACATCGTAACGAGTTATTTTGTAAAACTTCGAGGTGTTGCTAATGGCATTTGCATTTCGGGTTCTGCAATTGGTTCAATAATTTTGCCACCTCTGCTTCGGTTTCTTCTTGAGTGTTATGGTCACAGGTGAATACATCACCTGCCGATGCGGCAGGGGAGGTACTGATTAAGATCATTTTCAGAGGAGCTGTGCTCATAATGGGGGGTATTACTCTCAATGTGTGGGTAGCAGCTCTGCTATACCAGCCTGTTTCGCAACATATGTTGAAAGTTTCGAAGAATGCTACCCCTAGTGATGAAATTAAAGAAGAAGAGGAAGAAGAGGAGGATGAGGCGATTATAGAAATTAAACCGAAATTTATGATCAGTGTGGAAGACAATAGCTCATCCATGTATCATCTCCACGAAAAAGAGGCATTTTTAGAAAATACACCCGAGGTGCATAACGGCTTTATAAGGAGCGCATCTAGTGCAGCGGTTCCAAACTATAGAAGTTACGGCGGCGGACGAGAACGTAAAATCACTGCGCACGCGATACGCAATGAACTAAAATTCGGAAGTAGCGGACACCAATCGGATTCTCTTCCTTTGCATGCCGTGCCCGAGGCAAATAGGGCTATGGCTATTTATTCGCAAAGTAGATTCCCTATCTCTAAAAGAAGTAAGCAGCGGAGTGTACCTCGAAGAAGTCCGTCCACAAGTTCGTTTCAGTACGTGTCCACACCATTTCATGGAAGTACCCTCACATTACAACCGGAAACGTTTGCTAGCACCTTCAGTTTAAAAGCGGCGAGTTGCGTCCAAAAGCAAGAGGAACAGGAACTCGTTACAAAGCAAAATACATTTTTCGATATTTCAATTTTAACTGACCCTTTATACCTCGTAATTCTAATTTCGAACTCGACAAGTGCTATTAGCAACACTAATTTCATCATTTTATTACCTTCATATGCACAAACCCTTGGATTTAATAAAACCCAAGGAGCCCTTTTACTCTCCATCGTCTCTGCCTTGGACCTGGTCGGCCGTATTGGAGGATCCGCCTTATCAGATTTAGATCTAATGCCAAAAAAATGGTACTTCATCAGTGGATTATTTTTATCGGGACTTGCATTGTCCGTACTACCGCAAGCGGAGACCTTCACCGTACTGGGAGTATTTTGTGGACTTTTCGGTTTGTCTTCGGGAGTGTATGTTGGAGTAACTGCCGTGATTATGGCCGACTTGTTGGGAACCGAGCGTCTTCAATCGTCGTACGGAATATCCCTATTCGTGAATGGATTGCTACAATTAGCAGGGCCACCTATAATAGGGTTGTGGTATCAGTCAATTAGTACGTATGTGCCAATTTTTACATGGTTAGGTATTGTTCTAGTGATAGGAGCATCCACTTGGCTGCTTGTTCCTTTCATAAACAAAAGTAAGCGTCATGTAGAACAGGATGTGGTAGTTGAATCGACGTAATGGGTTTTAAGGAAGCATTAATTTTTTATAACGACATTGACATATACCACTACCTTTTTGTTGAGAAAGTCTTCCTCTGTATTCAGTTACCTACTTTTTATTTGCAGAATTCATTTTCATAATTTGTGTAAAAATATCTTCTTGCTAAATGACTAATTCAAAAAAATCAGAGATGGCTTGCCGCACAGGGATTGGTTTTGTAGGTCTGGAACAATTATTTCTCTAACATTCATATTCAAGCTATGAATAGCTCTCAATAAGAAGATCAATTAGAAAACTCATTGTTTATTTAGATTTTCTAATATTTAAGCTACTTTGTATCTAAAAGACTTTAAACTGTATAACGTAATTATACACACCTTTTTTATGTATTACAATCTTTTATATGTCTGTTGTATTCATTCATAGACATTATTCATCTCGACAGTGCCTGTTTTAATATTAAAGAGACATACCTTGCCTTTTATTTTAATTTGCCTGTGCTTCCTTGATGTTCATGTAGGGATATGAACATAATCATATTTAGTTATATCGATTTGTGTTCTTTTGTAGTGCTCAGCGGCTAATTACACAAGCATGTATCCTTGTAGTTAAAGCCCTAAGAGCATAGAATGTGTACTTATGCCACAAACAAATAGCACAATACGTTTTAAAGTTGGGTCGAGGGAAGTACCTCAAAAGCAATTTTTGTGAGTGTATAGCGGTGAATTTCCCATGAAAGCGGGGCGAATTTATTGGGTCGAGTTTTCCAAGGAGAATTACCAGAGAGAGTGCCTATCCTAGGAGGAATCTACCGCATTGTCCTGATCAAATATAGGACTTGCTGAAAATGCACTCTATAGACGAATTGTAGATTATTGCAACAATCGTTACCATGGATACTATAAACGATGTCATTGACGATATGTATACATAACCCTAAATCCTGATTAAATTTGACGGTGCATTCAGCCGCTTTGAGTAATTATACCGATTACTCTTTGGATGGAATTTGTCTAGGGCGAGTATTCTTAAGGCTAAATCTGGCATAAGTACAGGTGGAAAGATTGCTTTTGGTCTATGAGACTGCACACAGGCTACGCATAGTTGTGTCAAAGTAAAGGTTCTTAAGATCGATCCTTTGGGATCCCTGAAAGTGCCAAATTTTCCTTTGAACGAGTTGCTGACGAAAGAGTAGTCCGATGGAGGGGATTTCTCCATGTACGAATACTCTGGTGGGCATTTAAAGAGCGAATCTTCTGGGGGCGAGTCTTATCGGCGAGTTTTCTTAGGGGTGAAATTTCCTACAACCGTTTGAGTACCATTCTAAAAAAACCATAAGAGAGCAAAATTTGCACCTATCACATAAATTGCCGCAAAATGAGCGCAACATCAATGCAAAGATTCTCAATTACAGCGAAAATATAAACGAAGTCCCATTTTAAAAATTAGTTACATCCGAAAACCATAAGGGAACAAAATTTGTTTAACATTCCGGAAAAATATAAAACGAGCACAAGATTATTGTACATTCAGAAATTAGATGTTTCGTTACCCTTCTGAAAGGAAACTTGGCATACCTATACACATATGGCACAGCAACCCCCTGCGTCGTCGGTGTAGGTAACAGATTTTACTTATGATGTAAAAGCATAAAGTTACATAATAGTTTCCTAATAAACGTGGGAGGAATGAAAGAAGGAAGCGTGAAAAATCGGGAGTGAACGTGCCTGAAAAAATGGAACTGTCAATGGGCGGATTTAATTCAACTAAACGCGCGAAAGCAGCATTTAAAAATTCGTAGTTAAATTGTCCAAATCTTTTAATTATGTGTCACCATTCCGCCAACTCAGAGATCATTGGTGCCTTTAACTATGCGCCAGTGAAACGCAGCGTGACACACACGTATTATGACTTTTGTATACTGGACATTAAAAGTTGATAAGCTTAAATAATGGGTGCGGTTAGTGCGCTTTTTAAATGAAAACTACATAAGATGTGACATCAATCGTTTTATTCGAGAAGTACCGCCTCTCCCAGCGGGAGTCTACGTATTTTTGTCTTTTACTACAGACTTGGATTTGAATGAGCGTGAATAAATCTGTTAAAGCACATTTAGGTGCAAAAATGACTAACGGTGACATTAATTTACTCTACGCAGAAGTGGACAGACTTTTACATGGTACGTAATTGAGAGTAATTATCGCTTAATTAATCGAAGTAATGAGACAAATTTGCAAGTTGTGCATGTTAAACATAAAAATTAACACCACGACATTTTCCTGTTGCCACGAAACGATTGATAACAACCGCCGGGAAAGTCCAATTTATGTAATGATAATTGCACATGCTCAGTGAATTTTTTTCTTTTGCAATTTTCTTATTTTGAAGACCTTTTTACTAATCGAAGAAACGATAAACAGGGGTTCCAGCAGAAATTTCTTCCTCACACCCGCACCGTTTAGGACCATTTTTGCAAAATTCGAAAATCAAAATCCGTTTATGTGTGTTTCCTTTATAAACTTATAATGGCTCTCACGATCACATGTCATTTTCCTCATAGGTATAGTTTCCTATAAAATGCCCAGCATTTCATCGAAAGTCCTCTTATTATACAAAAATATCCTTATATTTCCCCAGAGTGTAGAATCCATAATTTCAAACAGTTCCAAGATTGGGTTACTAGTTCAAAAGTTACAGCCCTTTGAATTTTCTTTCGAAATTGGTTTCTAGTCTATAACTTTTGATTGAGAAGTCTGATCGAAAAAGTACGAATTGTTTTGGATTCTACGCATCAAAATTAATAAGAAAAAGTCTTTTCCCGAGAAATTTTGGTGCAGTCGAGTTTTGGTTAAAAAGGAAGGTAATACACTGCCTTTTTTTGAGGCCTTCAAAAAAAATTGTCTCAGATCGACCCGGAAAAAAATTTTTCTTATAGAATGTAGCCTGTAGACAGTGACGCCGCCAGGGGGGGGCCTGGGTGGGCACGTGCCCAGTCTGTTAAGCAGAGTGGCCCCCAAGTGCCCAACTGCCCCTGCCTCAAATTTTGACTTTTTTTCAAATTTTTGAGAGAATAATCGAATCTTATCGAGTTTTATCATTCTTGATTGCTTTCTTGAGCATACTAGGTCGATAGTGTGGTTTAAGCTAGAACACGACATTACATAGGCTCGCACTTAAACGTACAGTGAGAATCATTTTGCAGCTGGTGATCGTAGAAATTGAAATTTGTTGTTTGTAACTCTGTACGATATTTCAGATATATGCAAATTCCTGCACGACGAAATTCGAGATGGATATATATCTCCGAATGGAAAAAACTTGGCAAATAGTCTAATCGACAGATCAAAAAAACAACTTCAGACGATCTCGATGACGGTGAGTCTAGACACCAATGAGTCGTACGTGGACATGCAGGCATACAAAGGTTATTAAGCATGACCGAGTTGATGCAATACTAAAATCAGATTATTTTAGTAAATCAGCGGCTTGATTATCCTGAATTGGAAGTGTATTCAGATGTGTCAACTTATGAACCAACTTCGGGTTTATCCATCGCCGGAGAGGATCAAATTATCTGCCCATACTCCAGTAAGTGGCATTTTCTTCTGTAAGTTCCTTTGTCTACCTTTTCGTATTTGCAGATCTGCCGGCAAGCGAAATCAGGGAGGGTAAAATGGGCCATTTATATAAGAAGGAAAAAATTTTGTTCTTCGAACAGCACAAAAAAGTGTTCGCCGCTATTTATCATGCTTGGTTTTTAATTTATGCAAACGAAAACGCCTTGAAACCATGTCAAACGTTCGATTTATCGCGTTATGAAGTGAAACCTTCATCCGCTCAATCAAAAGATATAAAAAGGCGAGATGAGAGCTTCGATTTAATGTGCATTTCGGATTCCAAATTGCACCAGGTTCGTATTGTACCATCAAACCAGTTACTAATGAATAACTCCCATACAGTTCACAGCTTCCACTCCGAAAGATATGCAACAGTGGCTATCAACACTCAAGCTACAAATAGATATGATTGTCACAAAAAGAAGCCTTCCTCCGATACCGGCCAACAAAGTACAAGAAGATTTCTTTAGGATTTCAGCGGAATTAGAAGGCGATCACTATGAACCATTAAAAAACTACATGATAAAAGAGAAGTACTTACGCGCTGCTGCTGATCCATTACACGGTGCTTTCAACGTTTTCATTTCAGGGACGAGCACCACTCAGCAGAGAGCTTAGAGGTGAAGGGGGACACGTTACCGCTGCCTCCGCGTAATCCCAACAAGAACATTCCTAAACCTTATTTACCGCCCGCATCGTCCGAAGATTCCTTAAGTAGTAACTACGATTCTGTTACACCTGGATTTATAAATCCGTCGAGAGAATCGTCAAATTCGTTTTCAGAGGATGACAGCGATACTCATTATGACGATCCCTCAGAGATAACCCATCGTCCCACACCAATAAATCCAAACGACAGAATTCAAGCAGATGACGATGAAGATGATATATACGATTGTCTATCCGCCTTTCAGGAGAGCAAAGCGCCTATTAATCAACATCATAAAAATGAAATTCAAGTACCTTCACCACCTTCGAAAGTTCAAAGTAAACCTGTGCCGTCCTTAAAACCTAAACTTATCCTCAGCTTTCGGCAGAGAAAAAAAAGCGAAGTATGAAGATGTAATATACCCGTGATATGCTAAGTATTGAGATTGAGTATTTATAAATGTATGTAATTATCTAAGTACACATTGCTGGAGAAATATCCCTTACATACCTACATTATAATATATGGATAACTGCCATGATCAGTGCTCTCATTTGAAATCTTCAAGACAAGATCAGAATTATATTTAAAAGACTCCTAAGTTGACTTAAAACTGGGGTGGAACAGCTGTAAAAATGTAATGACCATAGTTGGTCACTAACACATTTTTGTTTCTTTATTTGATATTTTTTAGAGGATCGGCAGTCCAACCTAATGCACATAAATGTAATCTCACATAACAATTGGTCTATTTGAGGACTGTAACTTTTGTTGTACTTTATATATTTTTGTGCCCTTGTTTGATTTTGTTACATGCACATAGAAGTATAGTTCCTCCCCGTTTGAAAAATTATAATTTTTTTATGGACTCACTTTTGCATCTATTGTGACTACTATAATATTTGTCAATACTTTTGTTACCCTGTGTTATATTGTGCTTGTATGATCTTGTCTTTCAAACGCACATAACAAAATTGCCCTTCTCCGTTTCAATAATGACAATTCATTTTTACATTACAAATCCATTTATTTTGAGGGATGTAATTTTCCTTGTTTGATTTTGTTTACAGGATCCATACGCCTCTCTTTGAGCGCATACAATAGTGCAGTAGTCCTTTTCTGTGTCAAGAATATGTTTTTTATGACTTATATAAAGATTCTTATATTGTGAGGGCTGTCATTTTTTTGCGACTTTTTTTGTTCCCTTGTTCAATGCTATTTACAGGATCTATTTGTAATTTCTATGTAGTATATTCACTTGGATAATTTGTATTTCGTATTTTGCAAGGGGACCATTAACCATAGTCCTGATTAGTGTCTAAAAACTTTGTTGAGGACACTAAAAAACTTTGGAAGGACATTATAAAGCTATGGTAGTTGCCTGGGAGACTGTAAGGTTTTCGATTGCTTCGGTAGATAAATAAATCTAACATTTCAAGGACCCCTCAAATGCTCTCTAAAGAACCTTCTATGCACTCGTCAGAGCCATGTAGTCTTAGAAAATCTGGGAAGAGCATAGAAAGCTTTGCCGCTGAAAAGACGGCCACTAACCCTGAAAAGCACCTTTGAAAACTCGTTTCTAGTTTTTTTCAGGGCCTCCAGGATGACCTACAACGATGTTTATTGGGATGAGTGTGCTTTAAAACCGCTTGTATAACAACTGCATGAATAGACCAACGTTCATAACTGAATGATTTGTTTAAATTATTCAGTAGGTAGGATAAAATACATGAGGGCCCTTTCTGCCATCTAAACATATCACCAAAAGGTTTTCAAGGATACTTATTACTTAGTATGCAGAAATCGAAACAATATGCATAGAGACCTAGAATCACGATAGATGTCAGTGAGATATTGAGTTCTATCGCTATCATAACGCGAATTGTTTAAATCGTTTTTTCTACACAATAAAGATTATTAAAGCCAGATGTACAGATTAACATATGGATTTTACTACTTGTAGATTGAAACAACCAATTTTTTACAATAGCCAAAGTGACTGGTACTAAAGTAATTTCTTCTTTGGTATGTCAAATGTCACACGAGTGCTTGTAGTGAGTGCATGAATTGCTTGAGTGAGTGCCCTCTGGGTAAAGTGCGTGCAAAAACCAAGTTTTACAGGAAAAATTCGAAAATGACATGGACATAATCAATATTCATTTTTGACGCATGTGGGGTAGAGTAGGTAACTGCCCGCGCAGACGACTTTCAATAGTCCTCAGACTTCGTTAATTTCCCATCGCTCCGTACTATATCGTGTGTTTCCTTTGGATGTTTTTCCATAAAATATAAAATATTGGTAAACGTACGTATTGTACTGGCTGATGCTTTACATGTATTAATCCGTATGATTTTCCAAAAATGCATGTAAATGTAATAACCATGTTTTTTATGTTTAATTGTGCTGTATTATTGGCGGGTGGTATCGCTGGTCGTTTTTTGTTAATATTGAATAAAACAAAACTCTTGTGTTGTTTTTTTATATTTTTTTTGCATAAAGAATGCGTCCTAATTTAAAATTTAAAAGATACACGCCACATTTAAAATAGGAATAGCTACCACAACATCAAACACGTTTTCGTTCTGTTTTGTAGTATCACGCATAGCATGAGTGTCTGCACATGACGCTTCATTTTACTCAAATTATTACTACCTATTTTTATTTGAACTTCGTAAACAGGTAATACCTACTTAAAATAGGTGCTCCTGTGTGATTGTTTACTCGAGTTACTCCCAATGTTAAAGGAGACTTGTTCTTTGTGTGGACATATCGTATGATTCAAGGTAAATATTATCTTTATGTAAACAATTATAGGTAGGTAGCTTCATCTTTGTTCCTAACGCAAAGTATTGTGTAATGAACGAGTGCACGCATTTATTATATCACGTAGGTTCATAGTGGTACAAAGTTATATAAATTTACTTCTTCCTTTGTTTGGATTCAACGACATCCTAACGTTATTTTATTTAATTCGTGCGAATTGTTTTAAACTGAAGTTTCGCGCTGATATAAAGGGTGTAATTTGGTAGAAATACAATTAACTATGTACTTCAAGTAATGGGACTGGCATAATATATTATATTCGTAAAGGAGGTACGTATCATTTTTCACTTCTGCGTATAACAACAGATTTGCGGTATAACTCGTTTAAATCTTAAATTTGGAGGGAAATTCCTTTTACCTCCACTAAATTTGGAGGGAACACCGTAGGTAACACAGAGAACCTACATTCTTACAGTTTTATTCAAATTTCATTTCTATATTTTGAAGTATGTAGGTTTGCGGTAATCTTCAAATATTTAAACAGGAGTCCGCCCGAAGCCAACAGTCGCTAAATGCATTTTTATGATATTATCATAATGATATTGCTTACTGTACAGTGTGAAATGTTTGATTACATTATCATAGATGGCGCTAAGGAGTAGATATTTAAACATTTTTCATTATTTATTCAAGGATTATTTACTGATTGAGATTACGACACTGACTACTGAGGAATGAACTTTCCGATAAAAATTTGATATCGGAAGCATAAAACGTTCGAGCTCAGGAATTTAAAATTGATCCAGTCTACTTGTCAAACTCTCTCGCTCTCTCTACGAATTTTATATACATGCATTACGAGCTAATTAAAAGCTCTTACTTTACAATCGTGTAATTAAATTTCATAGTTCAAGGAGCTATGTACATAGTTCTATCCCCCACCATGCTAATGTAATAGCACATAATAAAGTTTTTATTTATTGCTGTAGTGTGGAATTTAATGTTCCGCGCATTTGGCAGAAATTTCTTATGAAATTGCGGATGCTAGCTTAATATTAAACTGGAACCGCCCTAAATGGATAAAATGCATGTATTTAGACTCGAAATAAGAGGATTGAAGACTTTATTGCGAACTTCTATATAATTTTTGGAATTAATTATTATGATAAACTGATGTGTATTGTATTAACAGTTTGTAGTGCAACTTATTAATTTTTAATGTTAACCCTCTCTCTGTATTAATTACATACTAAATTGTGAGTGTGGAATTATATACGTGCTCCAATTTACATCTTATTAACTAAATGAAAACTATACATATGGGGGTGCCAGCTACCCACAAGAGTAAAGTGCCCCCATACCGTTACTATAAGGGATAATCTTATTTATGGTTCCTACAAAATAGTTGAATTTGTAAATTGTCATAGACAGCGAGTGTCAACTGCGACTATAGGGATCTCGATTGATTATCTTCAGACATAGAAAGTTGGTTAAATTAGGGCAACTAATTTTCAAGATACGTGGCAACTTTATTTTTTCTTATGGAGGACATTTTGGATGTTGAGATTCTGAGATGTATCACACATGGTGGTTGGCACATTTTTCAAAAAAATACAGTTTAATTTTTTGCGAAGAGGGCTTCAGAAAAACAAAACGTTCTCAAAAGTTTGACAGTTTGATCTTATTTCTTGTATTGTCATTTACGTTTGTGCTTGTTGTATTGCGAAAATGCCTTTTTCAAGTGCACAACAAATATGACGTACTGAAACCCATGGTCAAAAATTTTAAAGAAATTATCCATTTTAAATCCCTTTCATGGAAAATAAGTTTGTGATTCATCTCGTTCGAGGAAAGGTTACTTAAAATATAAAAGCATTGTGATCTTTACCAAACGGATCCATACCCATCACAATATATATATATATATACTTCGTCGTCAATATTGATTGGTTACCCTATACTTTTGACTGTATAACATTGTACTTTTCATCAGCTTTGCATAATTAGAATATTATATATACAAATAATGTTCTTCCTCTCGCTATACGTGGAAAGTAAATGGTTCTCAACTACTACCTGAAAGCTACATTAGATAATACTCACCCGAACCATGACGCTTAAAGATAGGAACAGAAGAGGAAGGTTACAAAGGTAGAAGAATGCCTAGAAGAAATTCACCTTAATAACGTAGATCTGTGAAAGAACTCTCGACGAAAAGTCGTCAAGGTATGGGAACAATAATGGCAGGCACAGTGGATGAAAATAAATACTATGCCAAAAAACGGTCCAGCCCAACATAGGACAGTTTTTCCAAATTGCTGCAGAACGTATACCAATGAGAAAAGTTTGCACATTCCGGCTGGGACATACTGATCTTAGTCGCAGTTTTCTTCTAGCAGCCGAAGAACCACTTCAATGTGAAACATTTCGAGTCTAAAACCATTTTCCCATCTGTGAGGCTTCCAGCTTAATCTTAAACTAGACCACCAATTCCATTAAAAAAATTCTGCCACGTGAGCGGAGCAATAAAACACCATACAGCAATAAATATGCATTTTGTTATTTGTTACAAGATGGTGGGGGTGCTAAGTTTACTGACATTTCCTCCCTCTGGTTGCTTTTGCCCATTCAAAATGAATTTTACATCGAAGAGCTTTGAGTCGCAAAGAACTGCAATTATCATCGTGTCATATATAGAAGCAAATACCAGAATGATTTTTTTTTGTCTTAGTTGTGCAAAAAACAGTTTTTCCTGATGATATGAAGAACACAATTCGGGTAGAACGAATGTTTTAATGTATATAACACTAAAAGTTGGCAATGACTTGAAATAACAACTTGTGAATCGCCTTTTCCGTTTAGCAAAAGCAATAAACACTTTACTGTTTGTTTAGGTTGTATAACAACAACGTCATTCTGTTACCTTCCTGTTTCACAACGTTTTGCATACTTACTTTTAATGCATTTTATGAAAATAGAATTGCGGTTTAAAATTGATCCCATATATTCATCATGTCCATCCGTCCGTCCAATTGTACACTATTCACAGGAATATCGTAAAGTTCTTTCTTTTCTGATCGCGGAGGCGGTAATTGAAAAGCGTAAGTGAAAGTCGAAAGCCCGAGCGTCTATTAACCATCGGGGATTTTGTGGATATTTGTAAGATCGCGGGGGTTGAAACGAAGTTCGTTACTTTAGGATCAATGCGAAATTTACCAGAGATGAAGCATGTAGGATTAGATTGTGAAGGCCTCGGAGAGCATCTCTCCCTGGCACGTAAAACATGTTCCGGGAGGAAGTCTATGTATTCGTAAAGTAAGGACCCTTTCCTTTTTAATGCACTACCGGGTAAGTAGTTTGGAAATGGAGATGTTACCAACTACTGATTCTGTCGAGGTGACGTACTT